AAGAAGCAGCATAAGATCACACACTTAAGTTTTAAAAATAAACACACAGTCCATAATGAGAAACACCTAATTTAAGAATGTTTATATAAGGAAGGAAGATCCAGGGTTGTTATTTGAAAACTCAAAATTAATCAACAGTATGATATAGCTGCTTAAAAAAAAAGCAATGCTATCTTAGGCTGAATTATTAAAGCATTTAGAGCAGATCTGGGAAAATTTTCTCTGCAAAGGGCCTGATAGTAAATATTTAAGTCTTTATAGACTACAGAGTTTTTGTCACAACTACTCAGTTCTGTCACTGTAGCATGAAAACAGCCAGAGAAAACATGTAAAGGAATGAGTGTGGCTGTGCACCAATAATACTTTATTTACAGAGATGAATTTGAATTTCATATCATTTTCAAATGTCATGAAATATTACTCTTTGAATTTTTAAAAACCATTTGAAGCCTCTGCTCTTCAGAAGGAATAAAGAGACAATGTAGGTGAGACATTAGAAATGTCCCTGCCTATGAAAGACCACCAGTGAAGGTTGCAGAAGGCCTGAGTCTGTAAGTCAGCTCTCTGGAAGCACAAATGCTGTCAGGAGTCACAGAGAGTGGGAGGGTGGAGTTGGCTCCAGGGTCTCAGAAACACCACTGTCCGCAGACCAATGCCTACCTACACCTCTGGGCTTAGAATGTGGCAGCACCTATGCTTTAGTTCCTGACATGAATCAAGAATGTATTAAAGATACTTGATTTAAAACAAAACAAAACAAAACAAAAACAAACAAAAAATAAAAACCATTTGAAAATGTAACCCCCCCCCCCGCCCGAAAAGTAAAAATCATTCTCAGCTTGTGGGCCATACAAAAACAGGTGGCAAGTGGATTGGGCTGGTAGGTCATAGTTTGCCGATCCTGATCTAGATCAGAAGACAATATACTCCGCCTAGGTCAAACATTCCTGGGTGAATGAGGGTCATTTACAAATTGAGCATTTCCCAAGGGTGACAAGGGTGGAGGGGCTAGACACATTTACTACATAGAAGAGAAAACTGAGGAGTATGATGGACTTTGAAAAATACTTGAAGGGCTGTCATGTGAATAGAAGATAATATACTCATGTCATTTTACAGACCAGCATGAGAGGAAGGTACAGGGAGGCAAATTTAACTCAGTGTAAGGAAGAATTTTCTATCAAACAGAGCCATTCCGTAATAAGATTGGTTACAGCTTAAGGTTGTTGTCGCACGACCATCTTTCAAGAATGTTGCTGAAGGATTCCCCCCCCCACCCCCACCCAGTGAATGGGCAGTGGGAATAAGTGAAAAATTCAGAAATGATACTAAGCAAATCTAACCTTCGAAGATCCTTAGAACCTCTTGATGAATATACTTCTTTATTTCTTCAAACGAAACCGCATCAGCCTAAAGGAGGGAATAAAAGTCTGTTAAACTACAGCATAGCACAAATGAATAAAGAATAGAAATATTGGGTTAGTGTGCATACTTGAAACTTCCATAGAGATACATTTATCAAGCAAAATGCTTTTGGCAATTGACTATATTGGGCAATAAGTATCTTTTGTTTTGATCAAATGCTGGAAAGAAGTTGAAGTGAATAATTGCTTTAAAAGCTGTGGGCTGAAATTATAACCAGTGATATCAACATGTATCCTATTAAATGAAGACACATGGCTTCATACAGTTAGGAAAGACATTTTATATTATTTTAGTTTATACAGTTAAAGAATCTGAACAGGGCTATCATGATGTTAGTAACCCAATCACAATTTAATTTTTAACCAATACTGGACACTGGCAAAGTCAATATCTAACTGATATTAGGTACCTTCAAAGGAAGAGAATCTGGAAGAGAACCCGAAGTATGTTGGGTTATTCTTTCAAATGTTTTACTCATGAATAAAACTTACTAAGTTTCACTCATTTCATGATAAAGTTTATCCTGTAATTTATACACTGCAAGGATATATGTATTAAGCAATTTTCTTTTCTTAACAGAAAATGATTGTGGAATCAGGTAAAAGAAAGTAGGTAAACGGTATGAGTTGAATTTTTAACCCCTTGACAAATAAATCTACATGCATTTGATGAATAATCTAACATTTATAATGGCAATGTTTTACTTGAGTATCTTGATATTTTTAAAAGGGTGTTGTTCTTTTTCATGATGGTTAGGATTTCAAAGTATTTTATTACTCTTTGTATTTGATGGTTATTATCCAGGGATATATGTGTGGCATTACAGACAACGTGATGCAGATTAGAGGTTGTGACAAAGAGAATGGTCCGTATTGCCAGCATCCACTTTGAGATGTACACATGAGCAAAGACTATAATGGGGTATGGTTAGATGAGAGGCTTGGAAGCTGTATGAAAAATCACCATGCAATGTGATTTTTAGATTGGAGCCTGGGCTCAACTCTTCTAAGTAATTAGATAGTGAGCCCTAATTTATAACAGTTCCTGTCTTCGTGGGTTCTCTATCATTCTTCACTGTAAAGTCCTCCATCCTGTTTTCACTCTGTGCGTGGATATGTGACAGTAATATTGTTGTGGGTTTTCCTAACATAATGCTGCTAGTTTATTGTAACAATAAACTCATTTAGAATGTATAAAAAAAAAGACGATGTGATGGACTCATAAAGTGGTGATTTCTGTAGGACAGAATAGCTCCAAGAATGCCCTATTTCTTTAGCTATTTTCACTGTGTATGGGACAAATGAACTTGAATTAATGCAACTAATACCAATCACTGACACAGCATCAAGACTTCAAGTTATACAGGCTTTACTCAAGCTGAGTTTAGGGAGAGTAGGTAAAAATAAAGAAGTGTGAAAACTGTGGGCATGCCTACTTAGCTCTGTACCTGGCATTGGTCAATTATCTGAGCAAAGTGTCTTTAACTGCCCTATTTCACTCCAGGACACTTCTTTCTTCCTGACATGGATATTTTCTTATTAAATTACTCTGCAGACTGGCCATCTACCACTCCTTCTGAGGATATTAATAAAGATATGGGCTTCCTTAACTAAATGCTCTTTCTCGGCCTAAGTGGTTTTTATAGAGTTCTAATATGAAACAGACATATGTGGTTTCTGCGGAGTGTAAGGAGACATTACAGACGGTATTTGAAAAGCATGGTTGGAGTCAGCCAGACCTGGGCCTGATCCACATAATAACTGTGATGTTGGGCAAGTCAACTCTCAGTTTCTGCATTTATAAAAGTGGGATGGAAAACACTCCTGTCCTTCCGGATTGGTTGTGAGGATCAAATGAATAGTAAGTGCTTAGCACCGGATCTGGTACATAAATTTAAATAAGTGACATCTATTGTTACCCTTACAGAGATTGGTTTAGTTTTATTTATTTAAAAAGCATTATCATTGCTTTCATTGCAAAATGGATATGGTTGGTTTAAGCCAGGAGCTCCTGAAGTTCTTGGTACCACTTACCGGCATACCAGGGATGCCTGGAGAGCCTGGAGGGCCTTGGTGGCCGGGGGATCCCATGGAGCCCTTGTTTCCTGGTGGCCCCATAGGTCCTATGGCCCCTTTCATCCCTGTAAGGCCTGGTTTTCCTCGTTCACCTTGTGGGCCTCTGTCTCCTGGAATTCCCTGATCACCCTGTTAAGGAAAAAATAAAGAATGATCTCTTCTAGAATCACATCAGCTGTGACTAAGAGCAAAGGTTCTGGATTCATATTGGCAGTTATTAGCTTTGGGTCCTTGGATATGTGACTTAAACTTCCTGTGCCCTCTCTTCACCCGTAAAATAGGGATATCAACAATACCCACTAAGTAGGGCGATGTTGAGAAATAAATGAATTAACACAAGTAAAGTGCTCAGAAAAACACCTGGCACCCTGGAAGGACGACATATATAAAAGTTAGTGACAATGTTAGGGGTAGTCAGTTGCCAATCTAGGGTGATGGCACTTTTGAAAGCCAATAGCTGCTGTCACTTCAGGCCTGGGTCTCCTTTTCAACAACAGAGGAAGATTGACAAGAGGATCTCTTCACTGAGATTTTTCACTTAGAAAAACTTGAGAACCTTCAAAACTTCTCCCAAATCATGTGCTCCCCCCACCCACCACCTTCCCCTATTTGGTCTTTATTAGACTCTTTGGGTTTGTCTTCTGTACTTGGGTTTCACATGCATATGCTTGTGTGTGCATGTTTGTGTGTGTGTGTGTGTACGTGTGCTCATTGTGTCCTAAATATATGCAACTCAGGAAGATAAGAAAGGAGAGCCTTTGAAAAGGTCACAGCAGGTGAAGAGGGGGTGGAGGGGAGGGTTGTCACTGAGATTACTTACCCAATAGCATAAATAAACTACAAGAGAATTTGTTGAGTAAGATGTCATAATAAATTAGGAATAAGATTATATTAGAGGTGCCTGAATCTGATACAAAGTTTCTTTAATGCTGTCTTCTATCCCGCAATGTGTTTACTACTGTATGTGTTTGCACAATAGAGGATTGGGGGATGGGGTGGGGGGAGACATATCATGGCAGGTGTTTCAGTTATAGATTTTTAAATATTAAGTTGTACAATTCTGGGAGGTGATGTTCATACCTAATATAATAAAATAGTGCTAGAAGCTTTCCTGTATGTCATTGTATTATTCTTTTATTTGTGACTACTCTACAAAAAGACAAACTCTATTTCTTTTGTTTAAAAAAAATCCTGGAAATAAATAAACATATTACAGAGATCTATGTGATCATGGAATATGACATATAAAGAATGAAACATATAAAGAAGCCATGTAGAAAGTAAACAGATGGACCTAATGTCAATGCTACTATCTTAGTTATAAAAATGTATCTGCATAAGGGTATGTTGACCTGGCTCACATTTGGAGAAATTTCTGAGATGACTAGAAAAAACATTAGGATACTTTCATAATGATGACTATTCTGATCATGTGCAAAATAAACACAATATTTAGCATATTAAAATTATTTTATGTTAGGTACAAAGGTGTTCATTATAGTGATGTTTACTGAAACTGGAAAGAACCTAAATGCCCCTAAAAAGGGGACTACGTAAGTGAATATTCAAGCAGTAGAATAACATATAGCTATTAAAAGATAGATATGGATCTGTATTTACTGACAGGGAAAGATGGCCATTATATATTGTTAGGTGCAAAAAGTCATTTACAAAACAGTATGAACCCATTTTTGGAAAAGTAATATTTATTTATATTGATACATATATGTGTTTATTATGTACAAGAGTGAGTGAGATGGAAATATGCCCAAACTATCACAGTGCTTGTCTCTGTGTAGTGGAATAAGGTAGATTTTTAAAATTTCTTTTTAAATTTATATTATTGGTATTTTAATATTTCCCCTAGTTATCATGAATTACTTGTGTAATAATAAATAAAAACTAGTAAACTAGACACCAATAAACAAACACGCATGTGCCCCCCCCCCAATAGCAGCTCTTAATAGAATTACACTGAGTGGCCATGCTTGAGTAACCCATTGTAGTGGCATGACTCCAATCCACTAGAAAATGCTAAGGTTCATTAAAGAGAATAATGAATGGGAAGTTGGAATAACAATATCAACAACCCAAACAATTCAAATAAAAGCATGTAACATAATTACATTACTAGTAACCTCATTAAATATTTGGTTCCCTTTTCCAGTTCTCTACCCTCTCATACCACCTTTCTTCCTCTATGTAGTATTCCTCTAAGTAAGTATTCTCAACTGGGGCAATTTGGCTCCTCAGGAGGCATTTGGCAATGTCTGGAGGCACTTTTGGTTGCCACACTTGGAGGGATGATGATGCTACTGCATCTAGTGGACAGAGGCCAGGGATGCTGCTAAGCATTCTACAGTGCACGGGACAACTAACCACAACAAAGAATTATCTGCTCCCAAACACCAACAGTGCTGAAGTTGGGAAAGCCTACTCTAGGTAAAAAGAACAAGGGTGATAGTTACAGCTGCAATATGTGTCTGAGACAGGAGGATGATGAAGCCTTTCCAAACTGGAATAGCAATGTAGACTTAGCTGTGAACAAAAGCCAGCCATGCAAGTGTGCCTGCCATATGACCTGCTTCTGGGTCTTTCAATTGTCACGTTTTGAGGCTAGTAGAGATCTTGGATCACAGATACCCTATTCTTTTCCTGTTGGGAAATTCATGGAGGTCCACATACATAACTGTGTTACCCAAACATTCAGTTGTAACAGACAGACTGAATAACAACCACAATAGTAATTTACATACGCGTTCTCCTTTAGGGCCTCTATCTCCAGGCTTGCCCATGATGCCCTGAAAAACAGATGTCAGCACTAAAAATCACTGCTTGTTGAGATTTTTCATCAATCTGATTGATCTAAATTATGGTAGTTATTTTGGAGACAGTTACATTAGAGTTTTTATTTTAAATGGTATTTTCGTACCTGAGCACCTGGTAATCCATCTTTTCCATTTAATCCCTATAAAGATAAAAAATGATTAATATTTCTTTTTTTGCATTTAATAATTATATTTATTGCATGAGTTCAATGTGTTACTGAATCTAAATGAAATTACTGAAGCACGCCAGTTCACTTTGGATTTTATCAAGATGGCACTCTGAGTCTACCTTCTCCTTTTTTTTTTCCTTTTTGTCTTTTTTTGTGTCCAGCAACGGACCGCAACCCTCAGTGTCACACCCGTACCCGACCGGGACCGGCAACGGGATCGCAACCCTCGGTGCTGCGCCCGCCCCTCGCTCAGCCAGTGAGCGGGAACCGGTCTGTATGTGGGATCCGAACCCTCGGCGGGAGCGCCTCCGCGCTCTCAAGCGGCGCACTGTAGCAGTGCGCCACCGGGCCGGCCCTACCTTCTCCTTTTTATTAATATATAGGTAGGACAGAAAAATACATTTCAAAGCAAACAAATACAAAATAAGATAGCAAATAATGAATTGGAATGGCAAATGAAAGTTTTTTGAATCAGAATTTGTAGTTGCATAGCCTATACACTGTGTTAGGGATTATTCTAATAGGACTTTAAACCTATAAACTCAATACCTAAGAATTTAAAATAAACAAATTAAAAAATATGAAATGTAACAAATTGGCACATTGATTAATATTTCTAATTCTGTATTAGCATAGTTAAACACACAAAAAGGGTAAAGTACCAAGGACAGTTCCTTAATCATATTTCTACTGAGATCTTGGTGAGGCAATGTGGTGAAGTGGAAAACAAAATCAATAGAATTAGACAGCTCTGAGTTTGAATTCTGACTCTGTCACTTACTAGTTCTATTGACCTTGCTTGGCAATTTACTTAGTCTCAATATCATCAGCTTCCACACTTATAAAGTAAGGAAAATAATAACGGCCTGAAAACTAAAGATTAAGTGATATAACCTGCAAAATGGCATAGCTCATTGTAGATAGTCAACAAAGGTTATTTCCCTTACTTATTCTCTTATTAGGTACATCCTGAGGAGTGAGAAGGTGCCCCAAGGTACCAGGTGGCTGGCGTATGGCATTTTTTGTTATTTTCTAACAAGTTTTCCAGCACAGAGACTCATTCTCAGTAAACGGCCTCAGTTGCTGCTGGGGAAATTTCGTGACATGGCTAGAGCACGGTCCTACTGTGAAATAAACTGTCAGCTGGAGAACAACGGTTATTTTTCAGTTGGAAAATATGAAAGAAAAGCAAGACATCTGTAATCACAGTTTTTGAGAGTATTAAATAGTAACTTTTTATTAGAAAACTTGAAGTTTCCAGAACTTTAAAAGGCAGTTCTGAAAGAGGTAATAAAGCCTAGTCCTGCTTGGAGATTTATAAGACTGGGAGAACTATTGGCTGGGAGATATAAGGTGGAAAAGTACTTGGGGTCAAATCAAATACCTAGGGTCCAACAGCAGATTTTTTTTTTTTTTTGAGATTGATTCGAAGAGGGAGATCAAGGTGAGGAATATGATTTCTATGCCAGCAGGCAATTGCATGGACATGCTCCTCTGAAAAGCCTAAGAGATTTTATTGTGCTGGCATGGACTCTATGAAGATGGAACTGCAGACAACTGCATGTTTTCACTGCTGTAAATTACACTGAAATCTGTCACAGCTGATAACCCAACCATAGTCCCCCAACCTCTCTGAAACATCCTGGGAATTATTGAGAGTACTTTAACTAAGAACATGTTACCTGAAGTGTATGGTTCAAAGAATTTATTGCATCCAAGAACACAAGCAACAAAGATACAGCTGGCTAAGGAGGGGATGTGAAGGAAACAGCTGTGTCACTTGAATAAAAGAAGATAGATCTAGTGTAAAAACGTAATTCATGTTTTTGGTAACAATATAAGAAAAGAAACAATTCTGTAAACTTTTTCTGGTCTCTAGTAATTCATCAAAGACTATTACGGGTGTTTTCTTAGGAAACGGAAGTGTTATTTTCTATCTATAGGGGATAGAAAATTCCTGAAATATTTACAACTCATGTGTTTGTCCCTCTCTCCCCTTCTCTCACCTGTCTGGTAGAACCTCATTCCTGGGGTATAACCAGCTTTCTCCCTGCCCCATGCCTGCATCTGAGCAGCTGTCTGGTTGCAGAAAACCATGTATTTTTGCTCACTTGTTCCAACCTAAAAGTATGACAGCAGATTGCAAGCAGCCCCTCAGCATCACCAGGCCATTCTTCTATATAACCCAATGTGACAATTTCCCTTTCCTTCTCTCCAGAAGTACTCTCGTACCCACTTGCCTGTCTCTTCAAACCTCCAGCATCACCTTCCCACTACTCAGGCTTAGCTGAAGACCTCGATTCTTTTTTCACTAAGAAAATAAACAAGAGAACCTCCATCCCCCCACCTTCCCTCCACCAGACCCATCAACCTACATGCATTTATACCCCAACTTCTGCACTGCCCCCCATGCCCCTGTGTTATTAAGAAGGATGAACTGCCCCTGTTCCTAGGTAAGACCAATTTCCACTTGTGAGTGGAATACCAGTCCTCCCCTTTTGCTCGAAGTCATCTCCACTCTCTTGTATCATCAAAATTTCCCCTTTCAACTGGATCATTCCTATTAGGATATTAACATGCTGTCATCTCTCCCACCAATGACCTCCACATTTCTAAATCCAGTGAAGAATAATCAGCTCTTACGCTACTTATTTGTATGTTTATCATGCCTTCTCTTAAAACACTTAGTTCACTCAACATTCGGGAAACCTCATTTTCCTGGTTTTCTTCGTATCTCATTGGCTGTCAGCTCTTACGCTACTTATTTGTATGTTTATCATGCCTTCTCTTAAAACACTTAGTTCACTCGACATTCGGGAAACCTCATTTTCCTGGTTTTCTTCGTATCTCATTGGCTGCGCCTTCTCAGCCTTCTTCTTTGCTGGGTCCTGTTCCCAACAGTTGAAGTGCTGTCTTGCCTTCCTACCCACTGTGACTCCACTTTATCCAGGCTTGGTTTAAATACCCAAATCAGTCTCTCAATGCTGGCCTCTCCATTATTTCCAGATGCGTCTATCCACTGCATACTTGACATTTCCACTTGAATATCTACTAGTGCTTCAACATGAACATGTTCAAGACAGAAAACACTTGGTTCTCCCTCCCAAACCCAGTCTTCCCTATTTCACCAACCAGCAGCACTCACAATGTTGCTCAAAGCACAGCTTTGATTGGTCTCTTCCCACACACTTCACATCCAGTCTACGAGCAAGTCTTGTTAGCTCTCCCTTCAACGTACATCCTAAACGCCCCAACTCACAACCTCCCTGTTCCCACCATCATGATTTCTCATGGAGATTATGGCAATGCTTCCTTACTGTTCTGTCTGCTTCTATCCCGCTCCCTACAGTCTACTCTTCACACAGTAGTCAGAGTGATCCTTAAAATGTGGTCTGATCATTTTCATTCCCTGCTACAAAAGCTCTAATATGTTTCCATCATATTTCAAATGAAATACAAACTCATTCCAAGGCTTAGAAGTTCCTCGTCATCTGGCCACTGCTTACATCTCCCCCAGTAACTATCTCACTCTTCTTTTGCCTAGTTCATTCTTGACTTCATGCCTTTTGCTGTCCCTTGATCTCACCAGGCTCACTCCTCTACTAGCTGTTTCTTTTTCCTGAAACAATGTTCTCCCTGACCTCCCTATGGTTTGATCTCTCACTTCACTCAAGTTTCTGCTCAAATGCAGGTCTTTTCTGACCACCCTGTTTTAATGATACCCTAGCACTTCACTCCACTTAGATCTTCCACCTGAAATTGTGTGTGTGTGTATGTGTGTGTGTGTGTATATGTGTTTGTTTGTTTGCTTGGGGCCTGTGTTCCTATACTGGAGTGCAAACCCCATGAGCTGTTAGCACCTAGGACAGTACTAGCAAGTAGTAGGTGCTCAAGAAATATTTGTTGAATAAACAACTTGCTTTTTGCAAAACCCAATGGGAAGCTTTTACAAAATGCCTTGCAGGGGTTGGGGATGGGGAGTTGGTAAGGGGAGGTGAGTGCAAGGCAGGGAATGAAACTAATATTTGCTGAGCACAACCTGTGGCCAGGCACAAGAAATGCTTTTCAAATTTCATGTCACTTAAGTGACTCATAAAACTCTTTGAGTCATAATTCAGACCCAGATCTTCCTGATTCTAAATTGCATACGCTTTCCAGTTTTGTCATATTGTCTTCTCTGGTGAGATAGTGGCCAGGGAAAGCACCACCCCTGAAGGTTTCCCAGAGGTGCTAAGCCAGCATCAAGAGCTGTGTGCTGCTTGTTCGCCTTCATTCTTCCCCTCCTCCTAGCAGTGCCCTCATAGTGTTCCCATGCATGTTACAGCAAATCAACAAGCAAAGGGGGCAGCAACCTTCTATAAAGAATAAACCTGAGAGCAGGGTAGGTCTTATTCATCTTTACACCCCTCCCTCAGGGCCCAGCACATCCTCAGCCAACAGCAGGGACTAGATGAATACATGATGAATTGAATTAGTAGGAATGATTGTTACCATGTCACCTCAATACTATATATATCACTAGCCAAGAGCTCTTTTAGGACACAAGGGGATGATACACTTAGCAGCAGTAATTTATGAGAGTGTAAGAACAAGGCTCATATGTAAGAGTGAATTTGAGAAAATAGCTTCTTTTTCAGGCTTTAGCTTAACATACAAGTGTTATATCTGAATCTTTGGTTGCTTTGAATTTTAGGATGTGACAGGCCATTTTATTTTTTAACTCTACTGAGAGCATTAGACTTAAGAGATAATAAGTCTAATTTCCTGGCTCTTAAAACAAAAATTTCACCTTTCTTTCGCCCTTGTTTAAGACATAAAGATACCACATAGAGGTCTAGGAAAGTCAGTGAGAACCTAAAAAACCCATTCATGGAATCTGCTCTTCCTTGGAAACTTTTTATTCAAATCTTGGAATTTCTGAGGAGACAGGTGAATAGGTAATGTTTAGAACATTTCTGAAAGTGGCAAATTTTAAATAGCGAAAAGTACTTACTGGTTTTCCTGAAGGTCCTTCTGGTCCAGGGAAACCTATATCTCCAACAGGTCCTCTCTCGCCCTATAAACATGTCCACAGAAAAAATTAATTGCCATGAAATGCTTCAAGCTGCACGTAAGTACAACACAAGTACAACCATTGTGAAGGTAACTGGTAACTCACCGGTTCCCCTGGAACTCCTGGAGGCCCTGGGGCACCAGGTTTTCCCTGGTGAACAAATTGAAGAGAAAAGTTAGAAGCCAAATTACTGAATGATGCCATGTGCTTCTCCCCATCCCATGAGTTTGAAATGCTATCAGGGCTGTGGCTCTCTAAATTAAAATGGCATTCCTTATGTGACAGAGTCCAGGGGACACATACTCAGCTCTGCACATCATAAGGTACAGGCTGGAGGGCAGTTCTTTGAAAGTACTATCATGATTTGTAAGAATGAATATGCTAATAATAAATAAAAATTTGAAAAGAAAAAAAAAGAAAGTCCATTTGGGTGAATGGTGGAGGGTTGGGAGGGAAGAATCTTTTTGAAAATACAAAACCAATGTATTCTCATTATTGGAAACCCTTCTCATGCCTATTTTCCTGGCAGCTCTTCTTTACCTTAGTGGGAGGAAGGACACAGAGGGTCAAAGAAGTTCTTCCTAGGCTTTGAATTTCACAAGACAGTTTTTAAGTTCATAGGAAAATGGACTGAAAAAAAGCATGTTTGTTTGAAATGCCGTGTTTTGTTGAAAGGGAAAGGAAAAGATTGGTTTGTCCCAATACACCATGTCCTGGACTGGAAGACTGACAACAGGGAGGTCCTGCAGCAGAGCGACCACAGGGAGTGATGAGAGAGGACGACGGTCCAGCAGAGGCTGGAAGTGGAGGAGTGGCAACGTGTACTGCCCAGGTTGCCTAGAGAGGGAGCCTCCTACACCTCAGGCCCAACGTGGCTGGGAGAGACAGACAACGTGAGGACAGAAGGTAAGCGTGGGATTGAGGCCTTAGAAACCCCACTAGGTTTTGGAAGAATATGAAAAGGAAGGGGCTTTTCCCACTTGCTGTTTAGAATTCTGGATGAGATCCCCTCACAGCTACAGATATGGCTGAGCGGTGAAGCCAGGCAGACACAGGCCCAAGATCATCCCTGGCCCTCCCCAGCTGTGTGCAGGCAGGAGCTCCTAAAGTTCCTGTGGCCTGAGTTGGGGGCTACATTACAGCCAATACAGCCAAGAAGGCCAATGTCCAAAAGGGTCTTGGTGTGGGACATGGAGGGTAGGGAGTGCTCAGGCCTTGAGATCTGGGACAAAGGGATCAGGGACACTGATGGAAGGCAGCAGCAATCCCAAAGGTCAGGAAGTACCAGCATAGAACTCAGAGAACCTGGGGTGGGGGGGATAGTGGTGGAAGAAGGGATGCGGGGGGGACACATGCTGGCCGGAGTCCCCACCCAGGGCCAGCACTTACAGACACTTCCTCCTGCACACCCACATGCCATCCTGGGAGAAAGGGGAGGAAGACACTCTAGAGAAATCCCTGGATAGCCCTGAATTAGGGGAAGGGACAGATGGGCCTGTTCTAGGAAGAGGAGGATTGGGTTTCCTTGGTGCCCAGCTGAGTGACCATGACGTGTCTGTGTGTGCAGGCCCCGTCCTTGCTTCAGCCAGAACAATTACCTTTCCCTGTCCCTGCTTCAACCAGAACAATCACCTCAAAAAAAAAAAAATGTTTTTATTGTGGTAAAATATACATAGCATAAAGTTTACCATTTTAATCAGGCTTAAGTGTGCAATTCAATGGCACTAAGTACATTCCCACTGTCATGTAATCATCACTGCTATCCATATCCAGAATCTTCTAACTATTTTATTTTCTGAGTAAGATCCAGCAATAAAAAATCAAGGTATAGTTTTACAAAGTTGCATATTTTCAGTATGTAAAATTTTCACCCCTTCCTATTTCTGTAATTGTCAGTTAATGCTGTTACTTATGAGATATGAAAACTGCTTTTTAAGTAAATGTGTCAGATCTTAGATATTTAAATAAATGGCAGGCTAGCCCCTTATTTCCATAATGCTGCATCCTTCAAAAATATCATTGGAATTCATCATGTGTATTGCCTTTTGAGAGTGTTGCACATCTTTGAAATACTTTTTCTTTGAAGATATACTTAATTTAGGGTAACAACAAAGAAGTAATTTATAGTCACACCTGGGTGAATACAGCGGGAAATTAAGCTTCATTATATCACATGGAAACATAAACAGGATGTGAATATAAGGGGGACAGGGTGTAAGGGTACCCTGAGGGCAGTTCCAGAAACACAGTTCCAAATCCGTCGCTAGGAATGGGAGTGGAGTGGGGTGGGGGAGTAGGGAGGGAATGGGATTAAGTGTGTCGTCAACTCTCAGGAAGAATACTTCTTTTATAAAAAATTCTGAAGTGCTTGCTAAAGAAAATGCTTTCATATTACTTTTACAATCATACAAATATTCAACTTGATCTAGAACAGCTAAATAGGGGGCTGCCAATCCTCTATAAAGGATACAGATTATGGATGGGGTTTTATTTCTTGTTATTAGATTTAGTAGTTAAATGGAGTGAAGCAGAGTGGCTGTTGGTACTTTAAGGGATGGGGTGGTGGCAGATGGCAGTGGGTGACGGTCCTTGGAGCTTTGGGTGGTGTTGGGTGTCAGCAGATGTCAGTGGGTGGTGGTGGGTGGTGATGATAGGGCCCTTTCTTGTCTTTCTCCTGTTCCTATGATTCAAGCACATGGCTCTCATTGACTTTCCTGTAATGTTATCCTGGACTTGCCCTGCAGGGGCACCTAGTGAGAGGATAAATGGTCTCTTATTCATAAAGCATGACCACAAAATTTTAATTACAGCATCATGAATGAAGACCAGAATGATCCCTAGGGCTCAGAGAGATGATTTCCACCTTTCCCGGAGCTCTTTCTATTCATTTGAAAAGACCTTGATGAGATTAAAACATTTGACACCAGAGAGCAACAAAAATGATTGAGAGGATTGAAGGGCTAGTTTACGAGGAAACATTAGTGGCAATAAAGCTCTGCTAATAACACTGGGCTAAGGGATAACTCAGGCAGATTGCAGCTTAATACAAGGAACGTGAAGTACATGCCCGAGGAGGAGAACTCTGCCTTTTGGAGACTGAGAAACCTTGAAATATGACAAGAATAGAGAACAAAACAAGCTTTTCAAAGCTGTGCTCATACACAGTGTTAATATTTAGTTAAAGGTAACCGGGTTTCTTCTTTCTCCTGTGAAAGTGACTTGAGAAGAGGGGAAAAAAAAAGACAAAGACAGAAAAATAAGAAAATGCTGCAAATAAAGAATGAAGCATTCTTGAGGTGGGAGAGGGACAGGTGGTTTTATATTTTTAAAGTGGAGATTTCAGGAACCTGATGTCATAGAAGTTATGGTGTGCTCCTCAGACCTACTTGATCCCTGGCCATAGGTTTATCGTGGTATAGAACATTTTACCTGTGAAAATAATGTGAGACAATCTGAACTCACCGATATCCCAGCTATTCCTGGGGGACCTGCTGGGCCTCGATCTCCCTGTTGGGAAAAAAAAAAAAATTGCTACTTACAATGATATCTATAAAATCTTTACTTATAAAATTAATGCTCAAATAATAATTTGGATTTGGTGAAGCTTTTCTTTGCATCTGATAAGTGTTATCAATATTAGCTGGTGTGATGCTACAGGGTGGATGGGATAATAACAAATTGAATAGCCAATTTAACCTGTTGTAGCTCCCCCCCCCATAAAGCCAAAGTAAATAATAGTCTTCATAAAAATAATAATTTTTGTTACAATTTCTGAGACCTATTTTTAATAGACCTATTTTAAAAATTATTCAATATTTTTGTTTCACACATGCAAAAGATCGTCACTATTACTTGAAAGACTAACATGTTGAGTGTTTTCTGAAAAGCTTTTCCCATACTTGTCTCATTGAAAGTAGGGTTAGAATAAAAAGATCTAGAACCAAGGATTTGTAGTTCTCCTCATTTGACCAGTTAGAAGATCTCTTAAATTGCTCTGGACAACAGAGTGACTCAACTCCTCAAGAGGCAATGTGGTATTTTAGATAAAACTTACAATGCTAAAAACACTAATGATTATATATTGGATAATAAAATGGCAAATCTTGTTGAGCAGACTTGCATTAAACAAAACTTCATAACTTCACTCAGGGATATAAAAGAAAACTTGATTTAATAAATGAAATATGTTTTGTTCTTGGAAGGTAAGATGACATTGTAAAGGTGTCATTGCTACCCAAACTAATTTATAAATTTAATGCAATTCTTACAAAATTACAGTTTAATCAAATGATGTTAAAGTTCACTTGGGATAATAAATGAATAAGAGGATAAAAGAAAAAAATTTATGAAGGAATAATAAAGAGATACTAGCAATACCAATATTTAAACAGGTAATAAAGCTATAATAATTAGAATAATGTAATATTGGCATAGATCAAGCAGTATATCAATACAATATAACATAAATCTCAGAAATAGACCAACATTTATAAAAAGATGTATTATTCAACAAATAGCATTCATATTTGGATAATTTCTTTGAAAAAGTTTGATTTCTCTCCTTATGTCATTTAAATTATATATGGATTTATGTAAAAATAAAATAATACGAACTATAAAGGAGCTATCTGATCTTGGTTGAAAATGAAAGTAAAAGTCATTTTGTACATAAAAGCAAAGCAAGAAATCATAAAGAAAAATACTTTTAGATTTGATTAAATCTATAAGATAAACATAGAAATGAAAGGCAAAGACCAAGTAGGATAAAAACTGCAACATATAAAATAGAATTAATATCTTTAACATATAAAGCATAGCCACTGTCAAAAAGGAAAAAAACTAAAAAAAAAAAAAAAGGGCAAAAAACATAAACAGATAATTCTCATGAGTTTCACTCAGTTCATTTTAAATTATGGAATTTTCACTCTTGAAATGGACATCCTGGAACTTTTCACTCAGTGGGAGCATTTGCATATATGATAAAGATTAATGTTAAGAGAACTTCCCTCTGACAAGATAGTCCCCTTCCAGTACACAGGTTTCTCATTTCCTTGAACCACTCTCCTCTGAGGATCTAGCCTCTTATTCTCATAGTTACACCTGACATCTTGTCAATAAAAATATCTGCACCCCCTCCATAATATCAATTCCATGCATTCCAACTCAGACCACTATTTCCCATCATTCTAACTCACTCCCTTGAGTACTGCCAGGTGAATGTCCCCCCAAGCTCATGTTGGAACTTAACCCCCAATATGGTGGTGGAAGGTGGGGCCATTAAGAGGTGATTGGATCATGATGACTGTGCCCTCATGAATGGACCGATCTGTTCACGGGGTAATGGGTTGATGGTTTAATGGGCTGTCACGGGTGTGGTTCTGATGGCTCTATGAGGAGAGCAAGTGAGAAGGCTAGCCCTCTTGCTTGGGCTATTGTTCATTATGTGACACCCTGCACTTCCACAAGACCTAGTCGAGAGTTTCCATCAGAAGGCCCTCACCAGATGTGCTCCCTGGACTTGCCAGCCTCTGAAACTGTAAGAAATAAATTTCATTTTCTCCTAAATTACTCAGCTTCAGGTATTCTGTTATAAGCAACAAAAAAAGGACTAATACGGGCCGGCCCGGTGGCGGACTGCTACAGTGCGCCGATTGAGAGCGCGGTGGCGCTCCCGCCGAGGGTTTGGATCCCACATACAGACCAGTTCCCGCTCACTGGCTGAGCGAGGTGCGGGTGCAAA